AAGTTCTCTTCTAGCATAATCTGCCGCATTAAGGTTACCTATGACCCCGTATCCAACAGGCCTTTACAGGGAACATTCTGGATCAAAACATCCACCATAGGGCAGTCAGCAATAAAAGAGTGCATGGTCCCTTGATTATCAATTGGAGTAAGTAACCCTGTTGTTTAGACCTCTACAACAGAGCATTCTCATTTAAAGCTTGTCTGGGCTCTCTGTTCTCTCTACAGTTGCGTGCCACATGGCCTGGCTGCTGGCAGCTTCGACAAATAGGTCTACCCTCCGGGTCCCATCGGTTTATTGACTGATGCTCTCTCTTCCTAGGCGCAAGAAGGGCCTGCTGTTGTGGGGGTGCATGGGTTACAGAGGCTGCAGGGTTAGGAGGCCTAATCTCCCTCATCACTTCCTGAGTCAGCTCTTGAATCTGGCTCTTAACCCTCCACCAAGATCTCACGTTTCAACTCAGCTCTCCAGTCGGGCCTATGTGGATGTAGATTAGATGCATCAAGTTGACAAATGGCAGCACATGCGGTCTCATACCTTGCTTGGCCATACCCCACCTCCAACAACAAAGCCTCCTGATGCAGCTCAGCAAAGGTTCCTGCTGGATTGCGATGAGCATACGTCTTCAAGGCCCTCAACAATGGGCCATCCTCCATCCCCATCAATAGCAGCTCCTTTAACTGGTCTTCAACCAGGGCTGCCTCTGGGTTGCGCCCCTGTAACCTATGGAAGAGTTCCCTTAAACGTAAAACAAAAGCTTTAAAAGACTCATCTGACTTTTGCCTACAGCTAAAAAACTGTGACCTAAGGACAGGCAAGGGGGCTTCTCCAGCATACAGGATATCTAATTGATCAAAAATCTTACTCAACTCATCATGTTCTTCATCTGCCAAAACACTAACCTCTCACTTTGCATCCCCACCCAAAGCACCTAATAAAATCTTTACTTTTTTGGCTTCAGTCATTTCTTGGGCCTCTAAGAGCTCTTCAGTTTGCTCCTTCCAATCCCCATAACTCAAATCACTACCTGCCCCACTAAATTTGGGAACCCAAGGAGCCCCAGGAAAAACCGGCATCATCGTTTTTAAAACTTCCCAGTTTAATCTATCACGCGAGTGTCAAAAAGACATCTTTAGTCCCTCACACAGGTCCAATGACCCTGCCGACTACGCCAGATGTAACAAGGGCAAAAGTATGATTCTGTTTTCTTTAAGTGGTAGATATAAGAGCCAACAATACTATTGCTATAAAAAGTAGCCGACTACGTCACCTGGATTATTAACTGAGACCCAGGGCTCAACTTAACCCAATTCACATAATAACTATTCCAACTGAGGGCTGGACATCACCACTATTATCACTCAAGAGGTATATCGAATTACAAAATATTTTATTACCATAAAATATTTAACTGTAAAAATAGTAAAAAAATAGGAAGGGAGAATGCAGCGAGATGTTCAGTTTTTAAAGTAGTCCGGTCATTGTATCTTTCTGGTCAGACGCAAACAGTTTTGATTTAGTCCCACAATAACAGGGACCTCCACAGATTTTGGCAGTAGTACACTGGGAAACAGATAAGAAACAACTTCCAGTGTCTCCAGTCCAATTTAAACCATAAAACAAGTGCACACAATAGCCAACCACAGCACAATAAACACCCAAAACCCAGTTTCACAACACTAAACAAAAAAAGAAAAGAAAAAGACTATTGGCTAGTACACTGGCAATTAGTTACCACAGTCTCTACTAGTTAAAAGTTAAATGATGTAGAATAAAGAATAAAAAGATGTAGAATAAAAAGTATTTATCCATCAATCTATCTTCAATAAACCAGTTACTAGAGTTCTCACAATATGACCTCACAATATGTTCTCACAATATGACTGGGTAGCAGTTCCGCTTCCCAGTCTAGATGAATTCTAGTGGTGTGAATGTGATTCCTCTGTGTCACCGTCATGTTCACTGCACCTTGTGGTGGCAATTTTCCATTTCAATTAAAGGTATGAGACAAAAGTATTTTGTTTTCCTGCAGGAAAAGGTCTACATTCATACAGTCATTCAGGGTTGACTGTAAATTGCAACAAAGAGGAAAGACCCAATTTCAACATTTATACCTTCATCAAATGCGGATGCTTTGATCTCATCCAATCATAATGCATAGTCAACATATATGTCCATTTAAGGTGCCTAACTATGTCCTCCAGATGCGTTTCTAAGAATTTAATGCAAATCATTTTCTAAGTAGCCAGGACATCTAAGAAACTAAAATAACATCTCTGTCTCACACTTGTCTTACACACACACACAAATAGATTTCCTGTTATCTCTCAGCTCATCAAAAACTCAAGCATACTGAAGCAAACTGAAGCACTCAGAGACAGTCTAAAGAACACTCTTTAGTACAGTGAAGCAAATAATATTAATATTTCAGATATAAATAAAATTTCCTCCACAACCTCAATCCAGTCACACTTTTTGCATGGTTGTGAATGTGATTACTCTGTATCGCCGTCGTGTTCACTGCACCTTGATCACATTCTGTGATGATGTCATGGTCATGTTGCATTGTGGTCTATAGAGCGGCCTGAAGTGTGCATGAATCAGTCTCGCTCCCTCTGTCAAAATCAAGGGGTCGAGGGTTTGTCCATATAAACTTCCCTCGTCCACTTCATGAAGTGGAATGCATTTCAAAATGGCATTCCCCCGAGGGGAAGTGCTTAGGGAAGTTTGCGAGTGCGTGGAGTGGAGTGGAACGCAGCCCTAGAGTCTGTCCAAATACCCACACTTGCAGTACTTGGGCACTTGAGAGCATGTGCACACAACAGGAAGTAAGTGCACAAGACTGTCCCAGGTCTTAAAAATGCCAAAGAGCAGTACCTTAATGCACACTAAATCCACTTCAGAGTGGTATTTAACGCTAAGCATATACCATCATGCATCATGTTCTGGAAATAAATTGTGAGACTTTTTGCCGAGATCTCGCAAGATGTCACAGAAAACTTTCTAGTGTAAGTTAATTATTAATAATAATTAGATATTGCATATAATTTAGTAGTAAAATAATAAAGTGTTGTACATTTTATTGGTGCAAAGATATGTGTATTTTGTACATTTGCAACTACTTTTTATCACTTATACAAGCACCACAAATTAAATTATTAAATTGTGTCGTCTGTTATAGCGACTACTGAACAGACGTTCAGAAGTTTTGTTTTAAAATAGAATGTATTGAAAATCAAAATAAAGCTCTGTAATGCTTGAACACTTGGGCCAAATACAGGAAATATGTCATGTAAGTAGACAGTGGTCAAGAGCAAAGACCACAAGTGTGGGTATTTGGACAGGCCCATTAAAAACTCTGCGGACATGGCTGTGTTTGCCCTCATAGGTCACACTATGTGTCACAGAGAACATGTTGGATTACTTAAGAGACTACAAGTTAAAAACTACTGGAGTAGTAAGTAGATTTTATTAGATTTTTTAGCTTAAGAAAATGCTGTTTTTTATTATTATTACATGCAGTTTAATATGGAAGCCCGTTTCCGCCACTGAATAAAAAAATATAATTCTGTAAGTCATAATAATGAGAAACTTTCTCGAAATAATGACTTATTTTCTCGAAATAATGACTTAGTTTCTCGTAATAATGAGAAACTTTCTCGTAATAATGACTTAGTTTCTCGTAATAATGAGAAACTTTCTCGTCGAGATATTAAGTCATAATTTTGAGAAAGTTTCTCATTATTATGACTTACAGAATTATATTTTTTTATTCAGTGGCGGAAACGGGCTTCCATAGTTTAAAGATATCTGTAGATGAAAATATGTTGTCAGTGGTGCTTCTCCATTATAGAGTCAGCCCTAGTGTTTTGTATTTAAACATTTTTTTTTTCATCTAGCCTTTGAACGTGAGGGACAAGTTACAGCCTGAGGCAGACAGTGTGTACTCTGAGTAGCTTTATGTGGTTCTGCTGCTGAAGCTTTGAATATTTAAACAGAAGACTGCCACCTACTATTATCCACACTCAGTGAACACAGGGTGTACGTTTGCCTCAAATTGTTTATTACAAATTCTGATGTGTCATTCTATCAATAATATAGCACTGATGATGAACTTCACAGTGTTAAATGTCAGCTAGTTGATACAAAGGTCATCTATTTACTTTATTATTACAATTATTATTTTATTAGAAATTAAAATCTAAAAATGCAAAGAAGAATCTATAATATTGTATTTTCATTTTTTAAACAAAGGCTGTATCGTTCAAGTCAAACCCTTACAGAAAAACCACATGAACTTCACATGCGCAATCACATGTTAAAATCACATTCAAAATATGTGAAACACGTATGAGACATGGTTTTGGAACATTTTCGTGGGAAATGTGTGAAACCCATGTGATCACATTTTCACATGTGTCACATGTTGTCCACATTTGTTCACATTTGATCAGATGGGTTTCACACATTTACACCATTCCAAAAACGGTTCCAAAACCACGTTTCACATGTAAATTTAACATGTTAGTGCACATGTGATTTCATGTGGTTTGTTCATGTGTACTTAATTACACTTTATTTTTTTGGAGCCAGATTACTATAGGTACAAATAGAACGCTTTCAAAATGTTAATTGTTTTTATAAATCACATTCAAAAATGTCTCGCATACATATTTTACAGATTTATGCTGAATATGCAAAACAATCAATAAGGCATTTCTCTGTATTTCATATGCACAATGGCACACATTAAGATGTGATGTTATCTCTTGTTATTATGATAAATAAATAACTGCAGGTATATGCTAATAAAGAGTATAATTCTCTGTAAAACATAATGACAACTGCCACAATCCCTGGGATGATGTATATTGTTGTCCCTGAACCGTTTGTGAAAGAGATCCTGAAAAGCAAACTGTTAATCTCTCAAGGCAAAAGTAACAGGATGTAAAGAAAGTAAAGTCAGTGCCAGTCTTTGTCCAGCTCCTGTCCAAAAAAAATCAGCTTTTCTCTGATTGAGGTTGCGATCTGTCCCGCTGAAAGAGCAGGGTAAGCCCTTTCCTAAAACGGTGGTCCCGCACACTGTAAATAATCACATTGCAGCAGCTATTGCTCGTCAGAATCCAAAATGCAAAAAAGGAGAAGTTGCACCAGGTGTATCCCACTACGTCCCCCAGCACAAATACTGCGATAGGAGAGAATGAGGCTGTGAAGGCAAAGGTGAGGATTCCAATGGTTTTATCTGCTTTGATATCGGAAAAAGAGGGCCTGTGGGGACACCCACCAGCTCCTGTGTCCGTGCCAAGACTTCTCTCAGAGAGCAGCTTCCGTTTGCGGGAGTATCGGCGGATACTGGTGGAGGACAGGATATTGACGGCTAATGTCCCACCCAGTAAACTGAAATCAAAGGCTGGAAACAGCAGAAGGATGTTTGCATCTGGAGGCAACTGATGTCCGATTAGTAAGGGTGCATAGTTGCACATGCGGCTGCATTCATTGTACTCCAACGTGAAGCTGTTGCTTAGCATGAGCGGAGCCATTGCCAGTAAGAAGCTGCCAGCCCAGGACAAGAGAATTAGGAACAGGGTACGATGCCGTGTCACAAGAGTGTCTTTATGCAGAGGACGCAGGATTGCCACACTGCGCTCCACTGTCATCAGAAAGATGGTACTAATTGAGACAAAAGTGCATCCAGCAAAGACTGGACCAATCAGCATGCAGGGTTGCCAAGGTCCTGATCCACCCTCCCGTGAGGCTGTTGAGATGCCCTGGTACCACAGAGGTGGAGTGCTGGTCACCATGAGAGAGATTTCAGTGTATACAGAGAATGGTACCACCAAAACTCCAACCATCATGTCTGTGATGGCCAGGGACACTGCAAGACAAATATAAAATATGGCAAATTGCTCAGTATTCACCAGACTTTTTCTTTGCACTAGAGATCTGCATTCCCATTGGACCTGACGTAACTGAGAGTGGTGCGGGGTAAATTTTGAATTTGGAAAGCTGGAGAAAAAACTGATTTGTGGAAATCCTATAAAATATAAATATCTAAAAATAAAATTTACTCAAATGTATTTTATGCTTTATGTGGTAACACTTTATAATAACTTTCATTAACAAACATTATGTAATGCTTAACGGATCATTAGTTCATATATATTCACATATCTAGAAATGTGAAATAATGTGCTTGTTAATGTTTACTAATACATGTATTAAACATTACCTAATAATTAACATTTAATGTAAATTAAAATGCTTACAAATGTCGTTAAACTTCTAATTCATATGATCATGCACATCTTGAAAATCTACAAATGATGTTAACAGATGTTATACAATGAGTAAAAGGTTTTGTTAATGCACAACACCTTTGCTGCTGTTGAGGTGTGATACGGGCAAGGTTAGGGATGGGTTTGGTGGTATGGGTAGGTTTAAGGTTGGGTAAGGGGTCAACAAGTGTACAGGGGTCAGTTTGATTACTATAAGGGAACACAATTCAATCTGTTTATATTGCATTGTTTTGATAAATGAAGTATCATTTTCTTGAAAATTTGTTTTCCCCCTCCTCTTGATGTATACTATTGGGTATCTGTTTAATGATACACAATAGTATACTAATATAAGTGTTGAGGTGATAAAAACATGTTTTGCACCCAAATTACAATGTGTGATATGCGTTTACCAAGCATTTAGCTAAACTTAACTAACCACCCTTTACACAAACATTGTTAAAGTAGTTAAAAGTCCAGTGCCAATAAAGATACTAAAAAATGTTTGCCATTGTGTTTGCCATTTGTGATACAAAAATTGTGTCCAATGTGTATTAGAGAAAAACATTTATTTCATAATGATATTTCCCCCCATTTTAAATTCTTATTCTCCAATGAAAGGTTAGATTTATGTGAATTTTTTAAATAAAAGATCAAAATGATTAACAATGCAGATTTATTTTCACAGCCTTCTTTGATCATATTTACCAAGGATTCCAATAATTCTGACCAATATTCCAATATTTAATGAACACAAAGCTGGGAACACAGGAACACGGGAAACACTGAGAACACGAAATTATATCTAACAGCGGACGCTAGACACTAGGAAACACTGGGTTTAAGTAATGGAGCAAACAAAGGAACTGACGAGATGATTAATAAACAAAGGTGGAAACTAATGAACTATAATGAGGAACAGGAACAGGAAAACCATCCATTATCCACTATCCCTTTAAAGTGGCCTCCGAAGCATACAACTAGTTTTTCTGAGTGCTGAAATGGGCCAGAACGTTCAACAAACACTCTAAGGGCCCGAACTGGGCAGAGTGGATTAGGACCCTGCTCACCTTCTGAATTGAGGCCCAAACTCAAGACATGAAGTGCTGACTGACAGTGCTTGCAGGTCACCCACTTGCTTGACTGACACTAAAGCCAGAAGGAGGGCGGTCTTAAGTGACAAGGGCCGCAAGGGAGCGGCTCAAAGGGATAAGTCCCAAGGCAGCACAGTATGAGGGCGAGGCGGATTCAATCTCCTCAGAAACTTAACGGCCAGGTTGTTTCTGGCGATTGACTGGCCAGCCCAGAGAGAATGATCATAATGATGAGAGAATGATGATAGCTGCCACATATACTTTGAGCGTGGAAGGGGTGAGCCCCTTGTCAAACAGCTCTTGTAGAAAAGTTAGTATGTACAACACGTCACACAAGGATGGGTCTTCATTCCATGCTGCACACCAGTCAGAAAAGACTGACCATTTAAGGGCGTAGCGATGTCTTGTAGATGGAGCTCTAGCCAACAAAATGGTATTAGCTACACTCGAGGGGCGCTGCAAAGACTCCCGTCGAGGGGCCAAACATGAAGGCTCCACAGCTTTGGCCGGGGATGCCAAATCATGCCCCTCGCTTGTTAGAGGAGGTATTTGCTCAATGGTATCAGCCAGGGGGGTGCTGATAGCAGCTGATTCAACTCGGAACCACGTCCGATTCCTCCAAAGTGGGGCCGCCAGGAGGACTGAACATCTGACTTCCCCGAGCCGTCTGATAACCTGAGGAAACAGGGCAACCGGGAGAGGGGGGAAGGCATACAGACGAGTGCTGGGCCAGTCATGGGCCAGGCCATCTCGCTGCTTCGAAAAAAAAATTGGGCAGTGAAAGATGTCTTTTGAGGCGAAGAGGTCCACCTCTGCCCTCCCGAAGACAGACCCATTTGGTGATGTAGTCTCCATTCTCCTGAAGCTACATTGCCCCTGGACAGCATATCTGCTCCCTGGATCAATCTGCCCGGCACATGAACTGCTTTCAGCGAAAGGAGTTTGCCCTGTCCCCATAAAGCAGGCATCGAGCCAACCTGTAGAGGGAGCATGACCTGGGCACGCACTGAATGGGGAGGACAAGCCCAACACGAATGGAGCTTCCATTGCTCGGTGTTTAGCGGAGAGAAAGGTTATAAGGCTGTAATTAAAGCAAAAGGTGTTCAACAAATGTTCAACAAAATACTGACACAAGAGGATGATAATTTTCCCAACTCAGTGATTCTGATTTTTTAATATTTTTTCTGACATGTTGGTGTTGAGGCTTTCACCTGGATGTTATAAGTTGCACTGAGTAAAAACAGCTGGATAAAACAAAAACTGTCTCCATCTTCATTTCAGGCTGCAAAGCAACAAAATATGATTATTTGAAAGGGGTTGATTCTTTTCTATAACCACTGTATATCAAATTAAACAGGATATTCCTTGAATCATACATCAACAGGAGAAAACAAACCAATTTTTCAAGAAGGTACTTGTTAATTTATCAAAACAATGTAATATAAACAACTGAACCGTGTTCTATTATAGTAATCAAATTGACCCCTGTACACTGTTAACCCCTTAAACGACCCTTAAACCTACCCATACCACCAAGCCTGTCCCTAACCTTAGCCGTATCACACCTCAAGTGTTGCACCTTAACAAAAGCTTTTAATCATTGTATAACATCTGTTAAATTCATTTGTAGGTTTTCAAGTGCGTGATCATATGAATTGAAAGTTTGACATTTGTAAGCATTTCAATTTACATGAAATAATGTAATGTTAAGTAAGTGTAAGTATAAGTAAACATTAACAAGCACATAATCGCATGTTTTTAGCAATTTGAATATAAATTAATTTATTATCCATTAAGCATTATATCATGCTTGTTAATGATTTATTAATGAAAGTTATTATAAAGTGTTATTATAAAAATACTAGTGTAGGCTACTGCTTGCTCCATTGTGTACATTATATATTATTTTGTTTCAGAAATATGTAAAGCAGTGTGCAGTACCATAAGGAATGCTAAATGTTTTGAACAGTACTACATTTGTAACAGTAGTATGTAACAGTAACTTTATTTTTTTGTGACAAACTCATTACATTGCATGTTTGGGTATTGAGTATTTCATATAATCACTTAATTTGTATCACTTAATTTGCCCTTTTTTATCCATTTTTGGGTTAAAATGTCTTTTAGCAGCCAAAAATGTCAATACATTTCAAGAAAAAGGTTAATATTTCTAATTAAATTTTGGGGGGAAAAAAGGATCAGTGAGCACACCGCTGTGTGGGATATATCTGCATACTGTAAACTGTAGATGCTACGTGCCACACTGAACATATTCTATATGTAAACTATTGTAGTTACCTTTGAGGTAGCCCTGTGGTGTTTGAGAATGCCGGGTCTGCATGAAAACAGTAAGCGTCACCGCGTTTCCCACCACAATGGCAAAAGCCAAGCTGACCATAAACATGACTGCCAATGTTCGGTTTAGAAGTCCACAGCAGCGGACTGTGCAGAGAGCTGCCAAAGTTTGTCCTGCCCCTTGAGATTCAGTCACTGTCTGATTAGCAGTCTCCATTATCCCAAGTTGAGGTCCTGGTTACCTGGGTACACCAAAGATAGCCAATAGTGAAGCCTTGGTACAGTCTTCATGCCTCTAACAGGCAGCGAGATAAATCATTCAAATCAATATTTTGGGTGTTTTTTTGCAGTGGATAACAACCCTTTAAAAGAGCAGAGAAAACAGTCTTCATGGTTTGCACAATTTAACATAATCAAGGCAACATAAATACACTGTAATCAAAGTTTGTATTACACTTGTTCTGAGTTGCATGGTGATGACAACAAGCCTGTGCAAATGTATGCTTACAAATCAGGCTCCAATATTATGTAGAATTGGTAAGGACAAGTGTACAGAAGGAAAATATTCAAAAGGTGGAATGTCAAACATTTAACAATCAAATAAGTTATTAATGTCCTATTAGTCTTAAAATACTTATTTTAAATTAAGAATGGTAGTATGTTAATTTAATTTAATTTACTGTAAATATACTTGGCTTATTCTGACAAAAATATATGTGCATTTGGCCAACGTTTGTACTTAATCAAATTAATATAATTAAGTATTCTATGTATACTTGTCTTGTAATTGTGTTTACACTTTACAGTAAATTTTTCTGGGAGATTAATAGTGCTGCAGTAAAACATGAACCGAAATATAAGAAAACCTATGAATATATTACATTTAGAAAGTTGTCTGTGGCCGCGATGGCAGTCATGCCATCTGTTCAGTCTTATAATTCTTGCAGCATCTCTTCAAATAGAACCCAGACATTAACCACGACTGCTTTCAGTGCTTTTAAACAAGCAGAACCCTACTGAGAGTTAGAATCCAGCTCTCAGCGTACTAACTGCAATTTAGCATGATCAATATTATGTGGGCATTAAAATAGAAAGCTCTGCTGGGGCTTCTTGGCAGTTATGACAGCGTCTCAGCTGGACATCAACACACACTGCCAAACTCATACAGTCTCTCGCTCTCTCATTCTCTCACTATCTGTCAAAAAGTTTTACATCTTTTACTACACATGCATTTAGTGGGAAGTAGGCCAGGTTTTTTTTCTAATGAATCCAGCCAGGACATTGCTTTTGCGGTGTCTAATTCATTATGGATTATATCTGTGAAATCAGAATCAAACTTAAAACTTCAATTGTGGCTTATTTCACATTGAATTTGATGAAACTTGGAAATGACGTACTGAAACTCTACCAAACCGAAGACTAAAATTTAACTGATGCTCACAGTGTGTATATATCTTTGTTTTCAAAAAATAATAAGCTGCCTTTGTTATTAAAAAATATTGTGTAGATTGTAATATTGTAATATAATGTAATGTTACTGCAAAATACTTTTTAAATGTACCATTTTTAAACTTAAAAAGAATAGGAAATTCTTTAAGTTCTGATATTTAAAGGGGAGAATTCGGAAACACTTGTTATTACCGACACTAGTTTTTACTCATGCATGCATCTATTATGTACACAGAGCTAAAACATTCAGTTTTTTTGCTATTTGCACTTAGTATACTTATGCAAATAGCATCTTCCATTAAAAATACATATAACACGACAATAGTAATGTCACGAATCCGGTCCATGAACTTTCCTTTTCATTGACTCTCGCACCACACAAACTGTTGCATAGCACCCCGGACTACATTTCCCATCATGCATTGCACTGATTGCACTCAGCACGAATTGCACACACCTGTTTACACTGATTGCACCCAGCTGTTTCATATCACTCCCTCACTATTTAACACTCACTCTGATCCCTTCCCTCTGCCGAGTATTGTTTCAGCATTTATCACTCTCCTAGAGATAGCTACTTTACGGAGCCCTTGTCATAGCCTTAGCCCTAGTCGTTTGCCTTAGCCCTAGCCCTAGCCTTAGCCCTAGCCTTAGCCCTAGTCTTAGCCCTAGTCTTAGCCCTAGTCTTAGCCCTAGTCTTAGCCCTAGTCTTTAGCCTTAGCCTTAGCCTTAGTCGTTTGCCTTAGCCACCTGGTTCCCTGGATTCACCCCTTTTGTCTCGCCCCTTTTGATTCTGTCTGCCGATCATCGACCTGTTCCTATTCATTGACTCTCGCACTACACACTGTTGCACATCACCCCGGACTACATTTCCCATCATGCATTGCACTGATTGCACTCAGCACGAATTGCACACACCTGTTTACACTGATTGCACCCAGCTGTTTCATATCACTCCCTCACTATTTAACACTCACTCTGATCCCTTCCCTCTGCCGAGTATTGTTTCAGCATTTATCACTCCCCTAGAGATAGCTACTTTACGGAGCCCTTGTCATAGCCTTAGCCCTTAGCCCTTAGCCTTAGCCCTTTGCCTTAGCCCTAGTCTTAGCCCTAGTCTTAGCCCTAGCCTTAGCCCTAGCCTTAGCCCTAGTCATTTGCCTTAGCCTTAGCCTTCCCGGTTTCTGATCTTCGCCTGGTTCCCTGGATTCACCCCTTTTGTCTTGCCCCTTTTGATTCTGTCTGCCGATCGTCGACCTGCTCTAGCCCTAGGACTATTCTTGTGTTTTGCCCACCATATACCTGTTTGCCCTCATGTGACCCATGCCTGTTTCATGACCACGTCTCTGTCTTCATTCCAATAAAGCTTGCATATGGATCCGCACGTCTCACATCTCGTCAGCCCCGTAACAAGTAACTAGTAAGACACAATTTTTCTCAATACTTTTCTGTACTGAGTGTATTACAAATATATTAATAATGAACTTATTTCTCATTATAACCATCTTGGGTTTTTGTTTTTCTCAGTGAGGAAAATACATGTAATACTGCTAGTAAGACACAATTTTTCTCAATACTTTTCTGTACTGAGTGTATTACAAATATATTAATAATTAACTTATTTCTCATTATAACCATCTTGGGTTTTTGTTTTTCTCAGTGAGGAAAATACATGTAATACTGTCTTCTAATGTGTCTTATAAAATATCTTATGAAGCAACATAGCTGTTCACCTTCTGCAACAGCTTTTATGTTGAGAGCATGCCTGTGGAGCCTTAAATTGCTGCATATGTAGACAGCTTACTAGGTTTTGGAATAGACTGTATTGAATGTGACTCCAAACTGTGAAGTGTAAATTGCATTCAGCACAGGTTTTGTGGGCATGTTTGTTTCGTTGCCTGATCTGCATAATTCATTTAGTGAATCAGCGCAGATAGTGCTTGCAAATAAACTGCACTTTCAGCAGGTGCAACTCATTCATCCTTCTATCCATTCAGTTTCTAATTGATGTATTTCATCCTCCAAGTGAACACTTAAAACTAATAAGAGTTTTGTATCGCTCTCCATATTTATCTCTGCTAAATTATACATGAAAACGTTGCATCCCAAGACATGCTTTGACCAAAATGTAAAACATCATCACATGTATCCTTCACAAAGAACAATCCCATAAGCACAATCCCATAATGCATTGCAACAAGATCAGTGAAAATTGATCATAAACGTATACATTTCATTGAATACTGAAAACGTTAAAATACTGTGCTCATAGCACTGATAAAGTTGACTCTAATAAAATGTTGTATTTCACCTAATATTTGTGTGCTGTATGTATTTTATGGTGATTAGTGTTGTGTTGTTACCTTAGCAGCATACTAATATCAAACTGTTCATATTAACGTATTGAAATCAACTGTGAGCTGGATCTTAAGTGTGCAGAACCAATCATGTGGCGTGTGAGGTTTTTTCTTGCTTAGATCATTCCAAATGAAATGTCACTTTGGAAGCATTTAGGCAGAAACGCAACTAACTTAAGTTTTGGAACAGGGCCACTCTGTCAACCAAAAGCAATAGACATTATATATTGTGCGTAATTTAAGTGATGGTGGAAGTGAACTATAAATAAATAGGATTCTTTAGTATGTCGTGGTAGCAAATTGCTTTATATGGAAGTCGCTTTAATTCCAGACAGACTAGGTCCAGCCTCGGTATCCAGGGCTAGAGTAGACAGTCAACTGGAATAATGGAGTGACCAGTGGTGGACCCTGAAGCCCTGGGGGCCTGTAATTCTCATGGCCTGTGTGTGTCTTAATCTTTCTGTCCAGCCTTTAATCCAGCCTCTGTTTTTTTCACACTTATTTCCAGTGTTGGGGAAGCTACTCTGAAACTGTAGCTTGACCAGCTACAAGCTACTCATAAATTAAAGTAGTTAGGCTACATTCAAGCTACCCTTCAGAAAAAGTAGCTAGCTACACTACATGTTACTATCAAAAAGAAGCTAGCTACATTGAAAATACTTAAAATTTTGTTTTATTATTATTATTATTTTTTTACAATTAACATTACAAATAACTAAATAATTATTAATGAAGAATTATAATGAAGTTATAAGTAAAATATAATAAAGTTATAATTAAAATTATTTAGGATTTAAAACAACATATTGTAATGCAATCATGATTTCAAAGAGTAGGGTGAATTCAGGTTGATTGGGACACTTTTCCAAGCCAATTCAATGAGAAAAAGTGTCCCAATCATTTGATTTTGTAAACTATCTGTTACACACAATAATAAAATAGACTACTGTATAGTTATATATTATCTTAAACTGACTGTCAAAGTGCAAAATTGCTACTAACGTAACATTAATGCAAAAGCAAAATGTATGCAACTTAAACTGGATACGGAGGAGTCATAAAATAAGCAGGTTAAACTCACAGCACATGTGGTAGGCTATTTACTGACTGTGAATGGAGATGTCAATCATCAGCTGCGCGCATGAACACTGCGCTTTGCGTGAATCGCGCCGCAACCATCCTTTGCCAAATGATAAGCACACTACTATATCGTGATTTTATTTTCTTTTTGATTAGTGTTCATTACAAAACTGTGGGGCACCGATTATATTACGACCGGCATCATTGTAAAATAGACATT